TGGAATTTGATCAGGCAGAGAGCCAGCCTTCTGTTCATTACAGAGCTTTCCAGCAGTAACACACCCTCCCGGTGAGCACACCTCAACCTGAGGTAAAGTATTACTGACTGGCATGTCAAGAGCCCGTGCCCACCCTTGGCCTCCCCTCACTTGCCTTCATCGCTGTCACACATGCATGTGCGGACACACACTACATATAGTACACACACATCATGTATCTCAATTTCTCCAATGTTGCATTGGGAGGGAAGTGGAAAATATGAAAAGGCTTGACAGTCCAGGGCAGATATGAGCTAGCAGGGTGGAGAGATGGAAGTGAACTGAGAGCAATGGGTGTAAGTGAGAATGAAAGATTTAGTTGCAAAACTGTGTCTTTACATTACATACGTTTTGTTGGATTGTTTATACTAAAAATACTTACATTTACATTGCTGAAGCCTCATTTTGGCTTTAGATAAACTTTTGAATACATTTTTACTCAGAACAAAGACTGCGGATTTTGTTCCCCATCTCTTACTTTGAAAGCACATTAGGAATGGATCTGTTAATGGCCAGTATGAACAGGCAAAACCTATTTCAGTGTTTATATGGACACCTGACTATTGTTTTAAGACAGACTTCAACAATTGTGAGCCTATCCTTTAATGGTGAACTGCATCTGGGTATGAAGCAGGGGGTAGCGTGTGTGTGGTAGCCCCCCTCTAGTACTGTAATTTCCCTTGAACTATTCCCAGCTTCACCTAGAATTTGGACCAATCCGAGCCCACCCAGGAGACCCAACCTCCGTCACTCCAGTAGTCAGTAACAATTTCTAGAGGCCTTATTAATGTTTACATTAACAAAGGCTCAGTTATACAATTTTGTCATACAACCTTGTTTTATATAATGATAAATAAACTACCTTGTACTTGTACCTTGTTATATTCAAGTGTCTTTTTATCCTGGCTGATTACACCTCTGCTCAGGTTGAAGTTGGACAGAGCTATACTGGGAATGATTGTGAGTTCACTAAACAATTAACAGTGATGAAGGTGTAAGCTGCCCCGCCCTAAAAGGTGCAACAAAACTAACAGGCGACTGAGAGACGTTGCCAATCAAGTACAATTTGAACATGCCTACACAGTCCTGAGAAGAGGTCTTATTAGGCAATGTAAGTGAACACCTGTGTGGATGGACAATGGGGACTATTGCACACATAGCAGGGAAGCTACTCCTTCCTAACAGTGTAGTAGTGGTGAGAGAGTGGGAGAGAGTACATCTTAACTCAACTCTATGACTCGCATTCTTCATGTACTCCCCAAAAACATAAACAGCAATACATTTTTCTTGCAGCATGTCCATTTTAAATGTGCTTCGTCTAATGTCTAGAAGTGTGTTAATTAGTCTTTTACTAATTATTAATACTATTATGTATACATGGTCTTTTTTTATTACTTAGAGATGTGTTGCTTTGCTAATGAGGGTGTAAAATCAGTGTTAAAGCAACACTCTAGTACTGCTGTGACTCAACATGATGCACTCCAGGTCCAAGATGTCCCTCTTTCGACCCAGCAGCTAATGATGAACACTACAAAGGCCCTCTGAGGAGAAATAGAAGCTTTTTTCCCTGATATGAACATAAAAGCCAATGCCATTTACTGTTACTGTACTTGGGGATAATTATCATCCTTGTATATACTGTGTTCCCTTGTAATTATGTCATAATTCAAAGGCTTCCCTGGCGAGCTAAAAACGGCCAGGTACGTCATCATATAACAAACTTCTCTGAGGAGCGGGCCTATTAATTGTCAGGATATAATTACATTCACAACACCCTGAGGGCCCGTCTCGTTTAGTCATCTCAGAGTTACTGCTCCAAACTATAATTAGAGAATGTAATCACACAGGTATGGACCTCCAGGATTTATTTTTCAGCCTGACTGAAGGCTGATTGAAACGACATCTGTGGTAGAGCACCAGGCAGGGAGTGTTTACGACCTGGCACGTGTTCAATAGCCACATGCAGTGGCACCAGGCCGCATACCATACCGGCAGAGTTCACAATTTACATATATAAACATGCACACATGGACGAGTGATTCTGCTAATTTGTTTGACATGTGTATGTTCTTGTTAGCTTGAGAATGATTTCTTGAGTGGCATGCATGTATGTGTGAGTGTGTCTCCCTGTGAATGCCCTTGTGTGGTTATGCCACCCTCGTGTGGCACTTTCTGCCAGTGTTAACAAGTGACCTCATCCCGTTATGTCTTTCCGATCTCAAATGCCATCCAATAAACTACTCATTTCTCACCTCTTCATGCACTCTCTCTTGCCATTAAAACACCTCTTACCTCTTTCCCTTACACCCACTCTGAAAGAGCTCAAGACAGGCCGAGTAGAACATAAAGGAACTGTACACTATGATGTGATTTCCCAGTGAGAAGATTAATCACTTGAGTTTCGACAACAATTTTAGTGATGTAGGCCTTGGGTCTAAAGCTAGATAAGTCTGAGGTCAGTGAATGCCTAAATTAATGTAGTTCTGCTGCACTGTAAAGACTGCTTCACCATCCCGTTTGTGGGATTTGTTTTATTTGTTATTTTTGTCAGTGTGTTTTTAGCCACACTAGCGGCTGTAGGAAAGGCAATGTTGGTGGGTCAGTCAACCACTTTGGTATTAACTAAAAAATCTCAACTCAGCTATTGAATTTAAAGATGCTATCTTGTAAAGACATCAGTCATAGTCCCCAGAGGATGAATCCTACTGACTTTTGGTGATCCCTCTGACTTTTCATCTAGCACCCTCATCAGGTCAACCTTTTAAGTTTTTTTTATGCCTGTATTTGTCAAATTTCAAAAGAAACCTAACAGGAGTGAACCCAGAAGCATGATTCAGAGACTGTGTAAAGCAGGCAGGGTCAAAACACCAAGTAATCAGTCCAAGAGAAAGACAAGCAAATCGAATCTGATAGGCAGAAGAAACAAGCAAACAGGGTCAAGGCATGAGTGGAACAGACAGCATGAAACAAACTACCACTGTAATGTTAGGCTGAAGACACCAGACAATCTGTCAAGGAACTAGTGAATAGGGGCTGATATAAGTACTAATTAGTGCTAATAAGCAAATGTAAGCATGCTAGCATCCCCTGCTTTATTTATCTATTTTACCCTAAATGGGACCATACTTTTCAAAATGAAGGTCATGCTGTAATGAAGAAGACTTGGAATTACTGATTGAGACCACAAACGCATTAGGAAAGTGTTTACTGAGGTAATAAATCAAGTGAGAATTAGGGTAATTTTGTCATAGACTCTAATGTAATCAGACCTTTTGCAACCAGTGGAGTCACCCACTGCTGGCCGCTCAATAACTGGATTCCTATGGCATCATGATTATACTATTTGATCCCATAGACACTCAACATTTGAGCAAAAAATATCCTAATATTGCTGTTTGATATAACTTCTGAATACACTAAATAGTTTTAAAAAAGGTCTGTCCTAAGGCATTCATTAGTTTCACCTCCATTCACTGAGCCTCCTGAAACTGTTTGGAGCCCCCCTACGGAGGCCCGCCTCAACCCCTGACATACTGCATACTGTATGTGTGTTTAATCAAGGCTAAGTTACCGACCATGCAAAGCAGGCAACCACTCTAGTACCCAGACCCTCAGGGGCCCAGAAGACTCCAAATTCACTGGTAAATTTGTGGTAAATTTGTTTATTTGTGTGTACCACAAAAAAACACTAAATCACAATATAAACTGAAATGATAGGTTACCTTACGGTAAATCATGAGGCCCCAGTGCATTGTACTAAACACTGAGAAATGAGGGTATCAGTAGGGGCCCACACCTCACTTTTATACCTGGGCTTCCTAATTGGATAATCTGGCCCTGTCTGTAATATCTACATACTGCATTTATTTGTAACTGGAATAAAGAACCTGGCTTCCAGATTATGTGTAGTAGAAAACACATCTGTATACCTTAAGGATGTACAGAATTTAAGGGTCAGCTAACCTTCACCATTTCACAGTCACTCATATCAATTGGCATTCCTTGATTCTTCTTGATTTACATAATCTATATGTAAATACATGACTGTTTTATTTGAGCTCTGTAAGATCTGATCCCAAAGATGTGCAAAGTATAAAAAATGGTAAAAAAAATAAATAGAGTGCAGTTATTGCATCACTGGGATATTGTGGTGAGGAAATAACAGAGTGTATCAAACATTCAACTTACTGAACTTTCCTTTTTTAAATTTCTGTGTTCTTCAGCCAATGACTAGGGCTTTGATCTATTTAACAGTGATGAATGAAATTGCTGGCTACATGAAGGGAGATTAAGTTAATTATCTTCACCATTACCCTGAGTGGAATATTAATCAAAAACAAGAACCTGAAAATGTTGCTCCTCTTATGAAATTTAGTGCATGGGTGAGTCACAGAAAAAGTGGGTGAGCAATGTTTTCTCTTTGGGGTTAAATCATGCACGCAAAAACACAGTGATCCATTGAGCAGGGAGCCGAAGATGGGGTTAGGGGAGCAATGACACATCATGTATCATTTTACACGTCCCAGCACTGCTCTGACTAAAGCTCTAGTCAGCAGAATGATTGAGTAACAACTTACCATAAAACCACTCCCAACCAATTTCAGATTTAAATATGCTGTGTGTGTGTGTGCAGGTTTCACATTTGTCCCTCAGCACATATTGACTCAACATACTATCTTACTATATCCCCTCTGGATCTCTTTAAATAAGATAGATATGATGGCTAGGGCACCATATTCATGGCATTTATCATTCTAATGTTTACATGAAATCATCATCATCACTTTTTACCCAAATTATGGAAAGAGCAGCGGAGCATTTCATGCAGCCACTGCATTTTCCATTATACTGTCATGGCTTTGGTACAGACATAGTGCAGCGCGGCAATTGTTTAGGTCAGATTTCACACATTTGTTGTTGTTTCTCTGCTCTGTTGGATATAAAAAAACAGAACGACCAAGCCCCATTTATCCATCATATTTTATTCAACAATATAACTTTTGCTCTTCAGAGTACAATCAATATAAGATACATATGACAAAATATATTTTAAATAGAAGCGAAAAACATTAAGGCCTTTCAATAAAGGAAGTTAACAGTCTTGACAGTATGAATGAAAAGATTAGTGTTACATTTTTGGTGTTTATACACTCTAAGGCACTATGGCATGATCACTGCTGAAACCACATAAAAGACTTGTAGGCAAAGATGGATAACTTTCTACACTTACGAGTGGTGACAACATGCTGGTTTTCAATGTGGTTTTCAGTACTGTGTGTCTACAGTGTTTCAGCAATAAGCCAGAGCAGACACGAGTCATGAAAGGAAAAGCAGGTAGTGAAAGATTTCTCATTATGCCAAAAAGTGTGGTGGCATTGTATTAACCGTTTAATAATCCCCTGTGTCACACATGAACCAGCAACAGGGAAAAGCGCTGTAATTATGTTTATCACGCAAGCCAGTCTGGTGCCAGTGTGATTTCTTCACTGGGCCCGACATTACAAAGCCCAGCTGTTCCTCTGGAGAAATCACTGTGGCACCAGTGAGCGGTCAAATGGCCAAGGTGTGTTATGAAAGCCGTCATTTCCTGTGCGTATTCTCGAGTTCAAAAATCTCTGTTATTGCCTCTGCAACCGGGGGCTGAGGAAGATGGCATCACAGAAACGCATAAATGGCTAGAGTACAAGCTCTTTCTCACTCTTTCCCTTTCTCTCCCTCTGTTTCACACTTTCACTTGCTTGCATGCATAAACAAAGCAGTGAGGCGCTCACACACGCAAATACACGCACACATATACACACAATCATCCACACAAAGACTTATTACCTCGGTATGTACATGATTTAACTCCTGTGAGTAAAGTCTTAAGAGCATCAAGCCTATTGTCATGCAGAGTTTAGTATCCTCTCACTCATAGGCAAATTCCCTCCCTTTACACTTCTGAACTGTTCTGGACTTCTCTGGAAATTATTACTCATGAGTAAAAACTATACAGAAACTTGCACGAACAATGTGGCGCAGCAGTACTAACCCCTACAACATTTATCAACAGAAGCTGTAATCTGAGTCTGTGTATTCTTTTTGTATCAAAAGCTGCTCATATTGGATATTTATCATGTACATTTATATAGAACAAGTGAGTGCTTCACTGATGCACACACAGGTTATTGTAAGCAGTTCTGGTCTGAACAAAGTGATAAATGTAGGTACAGCTGCATCAAAAATTCATCACAGTTAGGAAGTGTGTCCACTAGGCGTCTTTTCCTGCGTGCCACTGCTCTGTTCCCAATTGTTTTGAGAATGGAAGGAGCTAACAGCCACTACAAGGAAAAATACTGCAACCAGCATCTTTCTCCTGTCCACTTCAGGCACTTTAAATCAAAAACTTCAACGATGAAAATGGTTTTATTGTTAAGTGCTGTTGTTGAAACAGTGCTTGATTCCTCAGGACACTAAAACCCTTCATCACAATGCTTCTCGCCACCTTGAGAGAAAAAGAGGCCCAGTGGTCACATTACAGCATGGGCTGGTCTGTCATGATCAAGCCTACTGCTGTGCTGCTGTATGAGTCTGGGACATCATATGTTATATGTTATATGCATGTATTGTATGAAAATGTACAGTATGGTATGCTGATACAGGCATCTGCTGTGTTACACTGCTATGTTTGCTGAACCAGACTGCAGAGAATTGTGGTGCTCAGAAGGCGTAGGGCCCGACTATGATGGTGAGCCGCAGCAGTGAGCTTGAGCGGTAGTTCATGGTCAGATGGTGAGTGACCATCTCCAGGTCCACGACGTACTCCCTGGGGCCTGACAGAGGCTTGGTTAGCACCAACATGGCACTCACATTGCTGGAACGCTGCAAGAAAATGTGATCAGTCAGTATGTAAGCATTTGAATATGGATTTATCTTTTTTGATACAACTTAACATTTGTATAGTAAAGCTCATTGGATTAGATTTTGTTTTTAGTCATGTTAGTGGAGCAGTTATATCTTTTGGGAAGCCAGTCCACCACATTGGTCCAGACTAAAATATGTCTACAACAATCAAATGGATTGCCATCTCCAGAGGATCAATCCTAACAACCTTGCATCCTCTGGCTTTTCATATAGTACCACCAGCAGGTTGACTTTTTTGGCTTTTAGTGAAATGTCTCGACAGCTATTTAATAGATTGCTGTATTAACTTTAGTGACCCGTAATTTTTCATCTAGAGCCACCAACAAATGACTTATTTTTTTGTACAATACTTTCGTTTTTGCCACACAAATGGCATTCCCATCAGCTTCAGCTGTACTTTGTGTTTCCTGCTATTTAACAAATTTTAGCATGCTCACACACTAAACTAAGATGGTGAACATGTAAGTATTATACCTGCTAAACATCAGCACGTTAGCATTGCCATTGTGAGCATGTTAGCTTGCTGTCTGTGTGAAGTGTGCATGTGTAGCCTAACAGAGCTGCTAGCATGGCTGTAGACTCTTAAGTCTTGTTTGCTTAGTGTCAAATAATATCTTTGGAAATGGGGGGGACACTGTAACTTTTGCGTTACAGATGTGCTGTGTTTTAAAATATCAGGTTGGGTAACTGTATGAGGTAGAGTCAGTGCGATGGTAATGTGTAAGTATGTGAGTATGGATTTAGCTCAAAACTGTAGATTCTGACAGCATCATGACACTGTGACAGTTTAGCATTCATCTTAGCCCATCATCACCTGTTATACCATCCTCCATCTTTTAATGCAACACAAACAATAGCCTAATTCCCTTCAACTTACCCGCAGGAAAAATTCTCCTCCCTCATTCCCAGCTTTGATCCTGAAGGTGTTGTGTGTATTGGCGTAGATGTTGGTGGCCTGAATCTGGAAGACGTCCGCTGGCACAGTCCGGTCCGCTTGGATGCTCATGTATTTGTAGACAATTGATGGTGGGAGACCCTGGCACTCAGCCTGCGACCGGCAGATACAACGACTGCAAACACATAACGGTTATAACAATCTCCGTGAAACCAGCCACACTGATGATACTGAAAAAAAGTACTGGATGATTTTTACTGACTTTTCAGAGGTTTTGGCATACGGTGCCTCGCAGGGGTCTCTGGGATAGCAGCGGAAGCCTCCGTAATAGTTCCAGCACATTTCATCGTCTTGGCAGTTATGAGTCCCCGTCTCACACTCATTTATGTCTGGTGATTGGCCGAGCCACAGAGAGAAAAAAAGTACTGAAAACTCAAAAATAGCTGGATGACATTACTAATATTGCCTATTTCCAAAACACACACAAACTCTAGAAGCTTCATGAAACAGAGCTGTAAAAACACAGTCAAAGTTCAGGACGTGTACAGTTTAAGAATGATGGTTTGGGCTTGTAGCTGCATTTCCAGCAGAAGTGGAGATGCAAGGAAACACAAGAGGGAAGTCTGCAGATCTGTGGTGGAGGGAAGCCCCGATGCAACCCCACACAGGCCTAACTGCAGCTCTTTTCCTGCAGCACCATGAAAATAACCCCATCAAACAAGCCCTGAACCACAGGGCTATTTCTGGCACAGCAACCTGGATTCATCACCAAAAGGTCCCTCTGACACAACCAACTGGATTCATGGCTCCCCCTATAAAGCCTGCACCTGACCGAGGGGGAAAGGAAAAAATAACAGCTCACCCTTTGAGCGAACGCCGGAGCTTCAAATAAATCAACTTCAAGAAACCAACATCATGCATATAAATTCACAGAGGTGGCTAAGCAGGGCAACATAAAGTTGCTGTGTTTGTGTTGCCTAACCTCTGCATTCTTTCCATGACAGTAGTGGTTGAGAGTGGCTTTCATTCCCATTCACATTAGAGGTGGGTGATAGCAGTTATAACACTTATCTTCAAAGAGTTGAGGAAGAGGAGGATGGGAGGTAGAGAGAAGAGGACTCACTTGTTTCACTCACTGTGTTTTCACACACAACTTTGTTTTGTGTGAAAACAGAGAGGAGGGTAAGACAGATAAATAAATAAACTAAAAAGCGATTTAAAAAAGATTAATGGAAGGAAAAGGGAAAGGAAAATGACTGAGGTACCTTGACACAACCTGTTTCCCTGGAGTTGATATCCCTCTGGACACTCACAGGAGTAACTTCCTAGGCTGTTAATACATTGGTACTGACACATGTAGCTGGAGAAGCTGCATTCATCAATGTCTGTACAGAAAATATGCACACACACACACACAAATACAGACATAAATAATGAGTATAAGGCAGTGCACACTGACAAACATGCATTTATCAGCCACTTTATATATCTGTGTATGTATATATATGCGCATTCCCGTGTGAGTGTCCACCTTGGCAGTTGACCGCGTTTTGTGCTAGCTCATAGCCCTGGTCACACTGGCAGAGGAAGGAGCCAAGCAGGTTGTAGCAGTGGTGCTCACAGGGACTCTGCACGTCACATTCATTCACATCTGGAACAAAAGCAAACTTTTTACACATAGATATAATAAGGACATTTCATGAGCCCTTTCAGTTTTACCTACAAATAAAGCTGTTAATAATCTGTAGTAATAATCAGGCTAAACTGCTGGTTTTGTTTATAACCTGTTTGATCATCTGGTCACTTGTTTCTTATCCCGACGTCATTGTCACAGCGTTACAGAGATCTCGGCAATTAGTATGGTCAGTACAATGTTGGATATGAATAATGGCCAAAACTATGTAAGTAAGACCCCAGTTGTAATAAAGCTGCAAATTATACTTTAAGACAGAACAGGAACTATAAATACTATGTAACTGGCTCAACTATTGACCCGTAAGTTGTAGTTTGGCTTCCCCACTACAAAGGCAGAAAGACACACACAAATACAGTATGCACACAAATACACCGGTTTCATCACAGCTGGGAGCCAGTCATAGCACAACATGTCAGCACAACATTTTCAATAACCTTCTTCATGAATTTTTATTAATTGCATTTGTTATTCTCTTTTGCCCTGGTGTGTGTGTGTGTGTGTGTGTGTTTTTTATTGCATGTACAGTAAAGTCTTCTGTAAACAGTCTTTACACAGTGCAATATAAATATAGGTAATCATGATTATTATTATAAAGTCTTGTTATTTCCATTATGCAAGTAACAACATGTTCCCAAATCTAAATCAAAAGCTAGCCTTTCAATTGAGCAGATAAGGTAGATGTCCACACCAACACAAGCTGCCTATGAATGACAAAGCATTGAAGCAAACTGTTTTTAGAATTCAATGCTGTACACACAAACACACACTGACACGAGTACACATGGCTTTTCAGTGACTTACCAACACAGCTGTGATTGTTGCTGGCCAACTTGTGACCTGCGTTGCACTCACAGTAGTATGAGCCCTGTGTGTTCACACATCTGTGCATGCAGTAGTTGGTCACGGCACACTCGTCTCTGTCTGAGGGAAAACACAAGTGATAAAAGATGTTAAAAGACGAAATGCTAACCTTTTCAAAAGCTTGACACCATTATTAATAATGTGATAAAGCGAGACAAGAAAGTGTGTTTTGCATCTGTGAATGACAACGACTCACCCACACAGTGGTCTCCGTTCCTCTGAAAACCCGGGGGACACTGGCAGGTGTAGGAGCCTCTGGTGTTGTAGCATGTCTCTTCAGGGCCACAACTGTGTCTGCCTGTCGCACATTCATCTATGTCTGCAATAAACACACAAAAACACACACTCAAAGGAAGCTTCATGGTGTTAATTCCTTCTGTACGCAGGAACATTTGGCAGACAAGGCAAAGCAACATGTCTGGACTACATGTTCTTTGTGATCTGTGATGTTTGAACTTAAAATATGTGATCACTGACACCATCACATCACACACATGGGTATAAACACACATGTTCACACAGACAGCAGTCGATTAAATAAAGAAGGCTTTTATTCATCAGCTCCGGGTGAGGGGGAAAACACAGATCGTATCTTCTACTAACAGGGACAGCTTTTGGAAGGGGGAAGTGTGAGTGTGTGTGTATGCAAGATAGGGAGAAAGAGCTCAACTGATAAATCACGTGCTTTCTACCATAATACCTCACTCTCCTCAATAGACATCTATCAACCTAAAATCACACAGATGCAGACACATTCACTTTCTATCTCTCACCCCATCATTAATAAGTTATATAACATGAATTAGAAGTTTGAGGTTAGAATAAGAAGCTTTGGCTAAAACACATGGCACAGCAATGGGAAAGATTGTCCTTTTTATGTTGATCCAACAAACATGCTCTCAATTTATGCTTTTCTCACTATAACCCCTGTTTCTAAAGTTCTATCTTTCTCCCACACACACTACAAATACGCCCATGCTGTGTACTCTCATCCCTGTGGGCCCACCAGCAGTCCTCTTGGGTGGTCTGACACAATCCATCACATACAGACTGCCAGTGGGCATCAGTTTAACAGCATGACGGACGGTTATTCTCAATACCACATGCACACACACCGGAGGGTTCTATGACTGCATTGTGATTTGACACTAGTCAGAAGAACCTGTCTGGAAGGTGATTGGAAAACCTAAAGTCGCTTGCTGACTGTGCTGAACTTGACACACATCATGTATTATCCCTCCAGCAGGGTTTATATGCAATCAATGCACCTGAGACAAAGAGTTACATACTCATAGAGAACACATTATGATCAAACATGTTACAATGATAATTCAATTAACATTACTGCAGGAAAGCCCAACTTGCTGCTGCGCAGAAATCTTGAACTGATGTTCTCCTGGAAATATTCCATGTGATGCTGGAATTGCCACCCTTAGAGCCTCAATTGCCCTATATGCCAATCCCACAGCACCGCCGTGCAGTGGGACTAAAGCCGCTGAGAAATTGGCTTGATTTAATGGGATGGGGCCCATGAATCAAAAGGTGGACAGAAGGTAAGTTGTCTGTATTCCTCAAAGGAAGGAAAGGGAAGAAGGCTAAAATGTGATCAAGTCTGTCGGGGCACAGTGATAAGATGGCCTCACTACATTAGGGACAAAAGCAGGGCTTATCGTGAGGTGCACCTGAGAGACAGCAGGTACGAATTGCATCCAGGGAGGAATGCAAAGACAGGGCTTGTTGCCTACTGACCTGCTTAGTGAAGGACAAAGATAAAAGCAGTGTTGTTCTGGAAAATCTACACTCTGATGTGGTTTGAAAGGCATCTGGGAAAGTACATCCGCAACCAACACTCTCAAGACTCAGTGAGAAACCAAATGCTTGGATTCCAGCAATATCACACTATGGGATACTGACCCACTTGCAACAGCCCAAAGGCTTCATGACATGGCTGTTAAAAAAAGCCCTGGTGCATCAGAGTGTCTCTGTCTGCAGGTGGTAGACCTGCAACATCCAGATTTAGTATTTTAGTGCCATCACAAATTAAATCTGAATTTAATTGTTTTCAATTTGAAATGTTCAAATTGAATTATTTATGCAAAATTTAATATTTCATAGCCATTGAATTTAGCTCATATTGCTTTCAACCTGTAAGTATTATTTAAATTTCAGTGTAGTTCCAAGTTAAGCTTCTCAAAATTCAGTTTCAACACAGACACACTCATCCGGGGAAGAGCTCCGATTCAATCCAACTCCTTTTAAAGGACTTCTTCAGGTCACAAGGCTTCCTGGGTATGTAGGTCATGAGAATAGCTACGCAGTCTCTCCCATTTTATCATGGCTGACAAAAGACTTGCTGCACCTCACAAATCACTGAATCAGGTATTAGCACTTTGTATCAATGTATGTAGCATTTCTTGTTTTTTCAATTGCACGTGCTGAAATAAAGCCTCACTTGGTGGGAGAGACTGTACAGCTACCCTCCCCTCAATGCACAGAAAGCATTGTGGCCTAAAGAAGTAGTCCTTTGAACGGAGTTGGATTTTCTATTCTAGTCTCCCCGATGATCTAAGTTGGATTGAATTTAAAAACTGAATTTGGAAACTGAATATGGAACTCCACCGAAATTAGAATAATACAAACAAGTTGAAAGCAATTTCAAACCATTAGATTCCATTTCAATCTATGAAACACAATTTTAAGTTTAGCATCAATTAATAATGCAGTTCAGTTAAATATATTTTTCGGGTTAATATTACCTGGCTGGTGGGTCACTGACATTTTCAAACTAAACACAATGAGACGACTTCACAACTTCAACACCTATCTATGCTGCAGTTTGAACATGTAGAAAGTTGCAGGTAGACGGCAGAAAATACACACCGTACTGTATTAGCTAACCTTGACAGGTAGCTCCACAAGCTGGTAAACTACTAGCTAACCCTTTAAAGAATAACAGGAAGTGGAATCCTGTATATACAAATGAAAAATGTGAATGAATGTCAAAAATAGTTAAACAAGATGCCGCAACAGTGAGAAGCCGGGATCAAGTCATCAAGTATCTGTGAATCACAACCACACCTACTTACTGAAGGTATTTAGTGATTCATTGAGACTGGAAATGCCCTGCCTTTTGGCAGTGGATTCAGACAACACAAGTCTGAGACTCATGATTTCTGATAAAAAAATAATGTTGATGCTGCAACAGCGCCAAGAAGCACACAACAAAAGTGAGATGTCAGTGAAATACTGTGGTTTTACTGACAGAAACCTAAATTAAGACATGTCACCCTGACCCTGCATATAAATTAACAAGACTTAAGATTGTACAGCCATGCTAGCAGATCTAGGCTAGGCACAGCGGCTAACTAAAGGCTAACATCAGCATGCTAACATCAGCATGCTAACAATGACAATGCTAGCATAATGATATAGCGGTCGCGGTTTAAAGTCTGGGTATCAACAAAGTTGTAACAGTTGTAACATTATAAGATTCAGCCTCTTAGGTCAAGAAATTTCATTGCAATCAATCAAATATTTGCTCAAATGCTGACACATTTCTGACCAAGCGACCACTGGACCATTTCCATTTCTCAAGTCATGTGTGGCTAAGGAACAATTAGCTAGTCATAAAGGTTCCTTAAAAGGTAAGGTTTTGTTCAGTTTTTGGTTTGTTTTTATATCTGTACTGCGGTGACTGAACAGTAGTCATTGGTGTAAGCAATTATGTTCTTGGAAAGAATTAGTGGCAGCTCACTTGACTTTGTTCAGATTGAATTTAGGGTAAAATCTGAGCCACAGCTGGTCCACATGGATCCAAGACATTATGAATCAGCTGATAGCATTTGCTCTAGTTTTGGGACCTTCAAGCCAAACAGAATAACATCAGGTGCACTTGGAATGATTTTGTATGTGAATTTGAGTCCGAAAACCTTTATGCCACTATTGGGCCGTGTGGTTTTGGCTACATAGGAGACTACATGAACCATCAAACAAGGTGTCACTGGTGCAGGGCAGACATCTACGGCTGGATCAACACTCTTCTATATAAGGCGTAGAAACCACAAACACTTAGAGAAAGAAGTAACTGCACATGCATTTGTAAATTGTATAAATGTGAACAATACAGTGATGCTTCCTAAGAAGTTCTGTGTGCGGAAAAATCTTTCATCCTCACTCCCTTGAAGAAAGCTTGGAGAGGTCTAAATAAAAGCATATGTGTGAATGTAATCCAAAGGTTCATTCACAGGAATATCTTGTGGTAACTGCTACTTTGTCACTAAACCTTTAAGAAGTTGCCAATACAAATGTTTGTGTATGCGTGTGTACAAGTGTGTGTATGTGTGAGTGGGGTGGGAGGGCATCCCACACCGGCTGGCTCTTAGGTCTCATAAAACCTCTTACAGCTTACCACATGCAGCACAGTCCATATAGTTTACACAGGAAAACAGATTTTACTGCAACAAGCCATCAAATGTGATGATGTGTTGCATGTGGGGAGAAGTGACTGTTCTCTGAGGTCAGTCTTTTTTTTAATTCAAAATTTATTTAACACAGCTTGCAAGTTTCCTCTAAGAACACGTTGTTGCTGTAACATCACAGGGAAAGATAAGGCTGTCAAGTAGAAGAGTGGAAGGAAAGAATGAGGAGAAAGGGTGGAGGCTTTTTTTTAAACAAAAAAGGGCTTTTTTAAGATTTGAAGTTAGATTTACGGCTGTGTGTGCATATGTGATGTCAGAGTTAAAAACTCCTTGCTTTTCAGGGAGATTAATTCTAAATGCCTTGTGGGAGTAACGGGGTTGGCAGCAGCTCAAAGAATTTAAGAGTGTGTGTGTGTGTGAGTGTGTGTGTGTGTGTGTTGTGTGCATCAGAGGTCCTGTTTGAAGTGCTCGAACATTAAATGGCCTTTTTTTTGCAGAGCTTTCAATGTTTTACAGAATGGGGTGATACACTACATACAAGAGTTGCATGTTTGGTGTGTTTGTGTGTGCACATATGTTAGATGCACACGGGTGAAAAAAAGCATATGCGGCCAAAACGGGGACTAAAGATTGTTTGGCCTGAATTCAGAACAATGTCTTATTTGCTCCAGATTTATGACATGATAGGGCTTGTTGTAATTATCACTGGAGAGCATTTAGTCTTGTTTTCATCAAACCACTGCAATGGAAAGCAGGAGCTGTTCCAAAGAACAGTTGGAGTCATCCTGCTGTTGGACAGCATCTGAGTTTCCCTCATATTATTGGATAATTCAATCTTTGGGAAAACAGGGGGCAAGATGTGCGATGTTAATAGTCCATAAAATTTCACAACGTCAAATTT